GAGCCCTCCACTGGTCCCTATCATGAGCCAGATCAATCCAATCCATACCATCCCATCCTATTTCTCTAAGATCCATTTTAATATTGTCCACCCACCTACGCCTTAGTCTTCCCAGTGGACTCCTTCCTTCTGGCTTTCCTACCAATATCCTATATGCAGTCCTCATCCCCCATTCGTGCTACATGCCCTGCCCACCTCATCCTCCTTGACTTGATAAATATTTAAAAATTAGAGACTAAAATTTAAAAACATAACAATTAAAATTTTACTAAAATGGAATATAAAGTATTTTGCGATAAATCTCTTTAAAACTTTGTGACCGCTACGTGTTGATGTGATTTTCTAGCGGTAAAAGCGACTGTAGTGTGGGGCGCCTGGGTACCGGGATCTTCTCGCATAAGTTAGGTCGTGTGTCTTGCCGTCTTGACCTTACTAGCGTCTTGTGGAGCTTATGCTCGTTATTCTGTATGTCACCCAACAGGTTGTTTATTTGGAGTGATATATATTAGCTTTTCTTATGATGATATGGGTAAGGGCTGCTTCCTGTGTTGATGTCACTACTGACAAACTAACAATAAACATAGCATGGAGGGTTCACTGCACAAGACGCCACAGAACAAGATAAATGCATAAACAGGGAGCTGTAGCAATGATTCCTTAATACGGTTCGCTGCCAAGATGTGCAAGAACCAAGATGTGATCCACTGCACACATCTGGATATTATACGTGAAACAAAACGTCTACCCAAGTAAGGGAACTAGGAATCTATTTCCTGTTTTCCTGACTGGAAACGTCTGGATTTTACCTCACGAACCAAATACAGAGTGTCCCAGGAGGAATGGACCAAACTTCGGGAGGGTGTTCCTTATGTTAAAGTATGCCGATATAACCCAAAACACCTATGTCCGAAGTTGAACGGTTACAGAGATAATGGCCCGAGAAAAGTGTGGTCTTCTAGCGGGTCTACGGATTATACCTGTCAGCTGAGAGGCCTTATCCATGTTTGTCCTTGAGTGCCGCGATTAACTCTAGCCGTACTTATGTAGTTGGCTTTATCAGAACGCGCAGTCAGCCGAGTTACGTCATCGCTCGCCAGTCATGTGTCATGTATAGTGCTTGGAAACCCTAAGGACAATTATGACATGGCGAGCGAGTATTTTGTACTTCAATTTTATGGCTTCATGTCACTCACAAGTTAGTTTTATGTTACGTACATTATTAACATTACAGAATCCACATATTCCTGCCAGTTTTAATATGTATTTTGTAATCAACAAGTGTGCAACGCCGGTCAAAGTTTGACACTTCTCTGGCCATTATCTCCGTAACCGTTCAACTTTGGACATAGGTGTTTTGGGTTATATCGGCATACTTTAACATAAGGAACACCCTCCCGAAGTTTTGTCCATTCCTCCTGGGACACTCTGTATAGTCGTGGTCCATTATCTTTGAAACTAACGGTGTACATCTCTCCTCCAACTGTGGACATTTGCGTGTTAACTGTTTCATGCTGCTTTCTTGCTTGGCCTATTCTTCGGTCCTGAAGATGGAGTTAATATATTGGTTAACTTTCAACGGACTACACAGCCTTATATCACGGAAGACGAAAGTTTTCAAGAAGAATTCCGTCTCCTAGAATGTGGCGCCGTGTAGATAATGTGTAAACCGATGTTTCGGAGGAAAGTATCGCCTCCATCTTCCTCCGAAACTTCGGTTTGAATAATATCAACACGGCACCACATCCCAAAAGACGGCATTCTTCATAATCACCGCCGTGAAAACCTCAAATCTTACTAAAGTTTTCAAGCTCCCATATCGTCAAAAGAAACATGAACATCAAAAATATATAATGCGATATTCTGTGTTATGACACTGTAGGGACTCCTATGTGAATACCAACTTTTCGGTTTAACACGCTACCGCCTGCATAGCCTATTCTCCTTGATTTTATAACCAGAATTAATCATTTGTGTAGCAGATACTACAAATTATGAAAATTTTCATTCTGAATTCTTCTTTCTCCTCAAATTTCCTTCCCCTTCGGTCCAAATATTATTTCCAGCACATTTTGCAAACACCGTTAATGTACAGTACATTTTTGCCTAGCAGCAGGGGATAACCAGGATCCAACTTGTGAGCTGGATGGGGGACAAACACGCATCTTACGATGCATTCATTTAAGGATAATTCCCATTGCTCATGTTCCTGCATGTTATTAGTTCACATGGCCACACGAAAAAAAAAATCCATCTTATTATATGAACTAGAAATCAAATTACTTGCTCTGACAAGGGTTGATGTATTAAGCTGAGCATTTCCGTTGACGGGTGATGGATTATGGACCTTGATAACCAATTTAAGCAGAAATAATTCTCAAAAACTGACACGGTATTTTGAGTACAAATTAATTTAGAGGCACATGCTCGCCTATAGAGCAGCTTGGAGGGCCAGCTTGTCTAATGCCACGTATAGAGGCGCAAGCACGGAATGTCCCTTAGCATTAGTACTTCAACAATTTTATCCTCAAAATGCAAAATTTATGTTTATATTTCGTATTCGGTAGTCTGCCCCACAGCCTCGTACTTTAACCAATCTGCCCCCATTCAAATTTTTGCCGTTTCATCCTACAGAGAAATGAACTAACGTCACGGAATAGACATTCTTTTAAAAAACAAGGGATTTCCTTGTTTTTACGTAATCCACATATTCGTTAAATGTTCTTACCACTGGTCCCTATCCTGAACCAGTGGAATGTAGTGCTGATATTCACATGATATATATTTGAGATCTATTTTAATATTATCCTTTAAAATATTATATTACTCCGAATCCCTTGTTCTCGTCTTTACGACAGAAAGTACGTCATTCGCCTCCAATATTAAGCATTATTCTCTCTTGACAATATTTCGCTGTTCCTTAATTTTTTGCTGCCAGTTTCCGTTTATATTTCTCTCACCATCTGCAGTAATTCCTCGGTTCCTTCGGACACTGTGTATGCCTGCTAGGCAGTTACGCAGAGTAACGTTCTGGAGTCTCCCAGGAGTTCGGTGGGAAACCTGCTTCTAGTGAGCGGGCGAGTGCCGCGGTGCGGGAGGGAAATAGAGTNCCCCCCCCCCCCCCAAGTCCCTGATAACAGGAATGGCGACAGAGACAGCAGCATCCGAGCTGTGCATGCGCCCAGATCATACCCCCACCTCATGGTACAGACCCTCTTCTCGACGTTGCCCAAGCTACAGTTTTGCCAACATCGCCGCTATCTCTCTAGCTTTCCAAATCAAACACGAAGCATAATACAGTATTACGTATGCAGTTCAGTATTTAATTATGTCAGTACTTCATTTAATGAAGCCCTCAGCAACTCAGATTATGTAGTGCCCAACAGCCGAATTGCAGCGAAAAGCGAACTAGAAAATTTATGCAAAGCAGCGGTCGTGGCCTAATTTTATGGAACCCTTCAAGTATTTGCCTATAGAGACTGAGAGCTTTTATGGGAACCTCGGCCAGAAGAGTCGGTGTCTTGGCCGAGACTGGAACCAGGAACCTCGGGAACAAGGATCATAATCGTATTTAACCGTTTACATTCTAATATAGTTGTAATCTAGTAATTTTAAGTGTAGTGATATACGATCATTTTGACTATATTAGTGTTGCAATTAATGTTTGTCATTCTTTGTAAATGTTTAAATGTGCATAACTTTTAACGGAAGAGACTCATACTTCACTTTCCTCATTCCAGGCAGCTACAGTCTCTCTGCAGGCATATGTGGTCATAACACTTTCCTGTATGTCTGGGCAATTTGAATGTCTGGTCCACTGAAAATAAGTTTGTGTGTAATATTGTCTAAATTGTCTTATCTAAATTGAATAATAATTTAGTGATGCAAATACATACACTGAAGATTCTCATATCTTCCAAGCAAAACGTAAGAAAATTTTCATATTTCTAAAACGCCCGCGTGCAGTAATAGAAGCTTGGAGATTTAATCATATTTAAGCATTGCCATTTTACTTACATTAGTGATTGTAGGGCACAAACTGTGAAGTGAATACGTAGAATTTTATCGAAGCACAATAGACCATTGAAGGTCGCATTGCTAGGGCCAGTTTTATGGCTCACCCTCATATTCATACTCATAGAATTTCATTTCTTATTTTGATACAAATCAAGTGAAGTTAACTTCTATCAAGACAGTAACTTCTAGGTGAATAAAAAAACAATATTTCCTGCTGTAAATGCAAACATCGTTTACTTTCAATTTACTGGTACTTCGTATATCTTCATTGTTAAAGGTTTATATATATATATATATATCATACAATGTAAAGCAGATCTTATTAATTATGTATGATAATTAGATATGCGGATTATAAAGGTAAGCGTTTGATCCCTTCGTGAACGTGTGCACTCTTACTCGAAGTGTGTTTTCATAAATATCATTGTAGGATATTTGAATGTAAGATAAATATAAGGCACAATAGATCACTGTGGTCGCGGTGCAAGGGCCAAGAAGGCCCACCCTTTATACATTCAAGGTAAGTATCATGACAAAATAAAATACGGGGAAAATATTTAATGGTATTCAAAGAAGTCAAAATTTGAAGACAGGGCAGCAGTACGATAACACGTATCGCATATTTGTCCCCTTTATTCTGAGAAGACTTCATTCATTCTAGGTACCATGACCTCGACAGTAGTGACTAGTCACGATAATATTCTTATCTAGGCCAATGTAAAAATGCCCAAGTAGTAACTCAAATATACGATTAATCAGACAGGAAGAGCGAGTTTTGACTCGAATCCCGGTCCTCTCAGTTGCAATGGAGGACAATATCCACTACATGTGTGTAAGCAGGATTGGCAAAAGCGACATTAAAGCCCGAAGAATGATTCCGTATGATTTAGGGGGCCGTAGTTTTGGTGGCGGAAAGTTGGCAACAAGAGGGGTAGGAAGCTGTCGCAAAAGCACTGCAACTCGGCGCTAGACGAAGCCGAGGCCCAGGCATCCGGACCGAACTAACCGCCGACCGTCCTGTCATCGGTGACTTCCAGCACACGTAGACCGTAGCAACCAGCCGGGGCGATACAAAACATACAGTGCAGCACGTGGAGGACAGAAGCGACACCTTCTGACTCAATGACACCCTTGCGCTACATACAAAACTTCCGTAGTCATAACGATATCTCCACATTTGTTTACAAACACATATCACTGGCAAGGTAACCGGTTTTATGCTCTAGTGATGCGACGGACGGACAGATCAAATCGTGTTCATCATAGATATAAGAAGAAAATGGTACTGTATTCATAGAATGGACGGCGATCCTCCGTGCGCGTCCTGCTCTTCTCTTTCGGCAAGACATGAACAGACACGTAGTCATGTATGTATTATGGTGTTACTGGTACTTGTGGGGTGCATCGCGACACCGTCTCAAGCCAACCCTGATGCCAAACGTCTGTACGATGACTTGCTTAGCAATTACAATCGATTGATCCGACCGGTCAGCAATAACACAGACACTGTTCTAGTAAAATTGGGTCTTCGACTGTCTCAGCTCATCGATCTGGTAAGTACGTCATTCATACCATACAACAATTATCCCATATAAAGTAATTTATTAATAATTATTCCTATAATGTTAATATAATATAATATTAGCAATACGCAAAATGTAATTATTCACTCCTTGACCGTATTCTCTTCTGCGTACCGTGGCTCACTTTACGGCAGATGCTCAGAATTGTCTATCTTTTGCCTAATGCACAATAATATACATGTTAATATGAACCTGCTGTAGGGAGTTTATTCTCCTTGAATATGCTAAATGGGCTAATAAAAATTCCTTAAATTATAGGGCTATTAATAATATTTAAATCAATGTAAGACAATTACACTACGACTGGGCTAGAATGGTAAGAACACTGACGGGTTAAATGCCACTGAAATCAATTCTTCATGCAGAAATATATTGTCGTTTTGTACAAGATTTTGTATAATATTAAAGAGTAATTTTAACAGATTAAAAATTTAAGAAATAATAACCTCGTTATTTACAAAAATGTTATTCATTAACAATGTTATACTATGCTGGCCTTATTGCAACAAGTAAATTTTATGAAAGTACAAAATCTTCCAATTGTCAAAAAAAAAAAAAAAACTTTTCGCAGGCAGTTGCATATAAATACGATTTCTTCTAAAATCTCTGAACTAATATCATGTAGTATATCTTGACTTATTTTCCTATTTATTTACTAGAATTATTTGTCGAATCCATTATATTTATTTGTTTTTCATTCGTACTTTTATTTATTCCAAATCTGTTTACTTCCTTATATACCTATCTAAAAGCTGACACACCGAGTCTGTAATTATATCACTGAATCTTACTCATTTGTTTCGTGCATTGGAAAACTGGGGCTGCTGCAATATTACTGAATCTTAGAGGCGCTACGACAATAGTGATATTATGGGAAAGGTCTGAGTGTGACTTACAAAAATGTCTCCTAACTGCTTTGTGTTTCCGCAGAGATTAGCACCTCCTCCCCATTCTCCGTTGTTACTCTTTCTATCGGATCTCCGTTCTTCTCTCTGAGATCGATCTGCCCGTGTATATACGTTCACCGCTGCTGACGCGGCTAGCGTAGCCACTGAATACGTCTGCTTCCATACAGATTAAATTTAATTTCATCTGCACTACAGATTCTTGTTACCAGCTTCCGTATAAACTGGCTAAAATGCGTTAGTCTGTTTAAACCGTTACATATACGATAATAATATTTCGGTTACTGGAGAATTTATATTGTAGCTTCGCTTTATACATTTATTTTATTTATTTGAAGATTCTGAGTGTTTCATTTTCTGCGTGTAACTAAAGGAAGAGAGGTTTCAAAATTAAGAAGAAAATGAAGATCATTTTCTTCTGGGATTTGGTGTCATGTTGTCTATCAGAAAATTTACCGACTTTTCGGAAAAAATATTTCATCCATATTCGAGGTGGAAGTGTAAGCAAGCAAGCAGCTTAACTCATGTCTTGAGGCTAAACCGACACACTTCCTCTTTTTACTTATTCCATAGTTTACAGTTATTATTGAGAGCTAACAGCCGCTCATCTGGCCAGTAAATTCCGCGCGTTTTGTACAACATAACGACACATGACCATGTTCGCAAGTGCCCACCGTCCATACTGCTCAACGGACAAACCTGCTAGTTCCCTCTTAAGGCGGTGGGTTATTAGCGCCCTTAAAATCCCCAAGCTGCTGGCCAGTCTCTTGTGAAGTGTCCACGTCTGCTTATTCAATACATTCACAGGTCACTTTCATACCTGAAAGCCGTCTCCTCCGCTATAAACGTGAAGATGGGATATGTCGTGTTTTATCGTCTACTCTCATTTCCACGAAAAACTTTGAAAGTTACTTTTCGAGTGACCCCTACCATAGCTCAAGCGGCTAGTCGCTGGCTTCCCACCGCGGCGGCTACCGACTGTAAAATGATAAAAATAAAATTAAAAAAAAAAACTCCACACCGTAAGGTATAAGAGGAGCGGATGAAGTAGGTAAGATTCATTAATTACTATTATGTTATTCTTACTTTTACGCAAGCTTAATGAACTTGAAGGAAATTCGTTGGTAATTTTGTGTACATATTACGAAGTACAAACTTTACGGTCTTGTTATACGAGTAGATATCGAAGTAATAATAAAAATAAATTGAAACTGTATAGGATACGACAAGAATAAGTGTGGGCTGGAATGTTGTAAACCTAATACAGAAATAAAGGCAAACATGTTTCTGGGCTGATGCATTAAGATTCGAGGCCGATTTGTTCGCTGTTCCTCTGCCAAGCTGACTGGCTCACGGTATGCAACAAGTGAGGCGGTCAATAGAGCGCCGCTCCGCGTCTTCTCACGCCGAGAGCGACGCGAGGTATCGCAACTGAGGACTTGCAATCAATGATTAATATAACATTAAAATGTACATAACTGAGAATTNGCCAATAAATCTATTCACCAATCCAAACCCTGTATATAGTCACACATATTACATGACAATATGATTCCCAATACACCCAAAAAAAAAAAAAAAAAAAAAAAAAAAAAAAAAAAAAAATGAAAAGTACTGCAGTAAAATACCTCGAAAACAATATGGAAAACTACGCCCTGTGTGCGACACGAGCAAATCTCGCAACTTCTTAAACAGTAAGCTTACTACATTCTGGGATGACACTGCATTGTCTGGTTAAAAGTTACTGACTTTTCTGAGATACATATTGCTTCCATCCTCAGGGACAAAGAATGCGCCAAGCAGTAGACATACTTGCTTCTTCAGGGTCGAAACTGAATACGGAGGTAACAGATTCCTCCCAAATCTTGGCATTTTTCCGTCATACCTACACTGAGTACGGGGCATGCGGTAGAGTAGTTGGTTGAGGCACTATGCTACAAGCAGGAGGGTCGTTGTTTCGATTCCCGATGATGTCACTAAATTTTTCAAAATACCTAATCCTTCCGGCCACACTATTGCCCTGGGGTCGACTCAGCCTCTAACAGAAATATGTACCAGGAATATTCCTGGGAATTAAGGGCGGCCGGCGTGTAAGGCTGAGAACCTCACCTCCTTCTGTGAGCAGATTATCTAGAAAATGTAGGAACCTGGACGTCTCACAGCCCTATGGATTTCTTTAGTCTGTTACAGGAATAGGTTTACTTTTTTACCTACACTGAGTAACTTCTTAGATTACTGTATGCAATCTTAATACTGGCCGCTATAAGAATCTCACGTCTTTATATCCTCCCATACACTTAATGTTACTCTCCCTTCAAATGCCGCGGCCAAAACATTCTTAGCATTTCTGTCGTGGTATATGCGAAAGGATTACGAGCTAGCAGACTCAAGATAGCAGGATATCATTTATACAGACTGTTTTCGATTATCCAGGATTGAGATATAAGGTCTTTACAGGCTCTGAGAAAACTGATTCCAGTTGAAATTCCATTTCAACGCGACTTCCAACACGACAGAAAGCGAGGCTTCCGGAACTCGACAGAAAACAGGTTCTGTTTAGCCGTGGATCCAAGACGTGAGGTTGTTCTCACAGCATTAACTATGAAGAACGCCATATTCTGCGATGTGATGGCTATGCAATCTAGCAGAACCTTAACGACGTTTCGGAAGAACGTATTGTCTCTATCCGCAAGGTCGAAATGTAAGCAGAGCACTCTGTTTGCTACTTGACGCTTTGCTCAGCCTGTTTTTCAATCTTAATGGTAAAGTTACAAATTTTATCAAACTACAGAGCGTCACGTCCCAAACGATGGTACCCTTCAAGTAGGACTGTCTCCCCACGCTTATATTATTATATATTATTGCACATGTAAAGTAAAGTAAAAAGTAAAGCAATCCCTGTAACAGGCCGTGAAGGCACATAGGGTTGTGAGACGTTGAGGGTCCCACATTACCTTGACAATCGGCTCATGGATGGCGGTAAGGTTGTCAGCCTTACGCGCCGGCCGCCCTTCACTCCCCAGGAAAATTATTTAATTAATTCCTGGTATTCATTTCTGCTAGAGACTGAGTAAATCCCAGGGCCATAGAGCGGCTGGAAGGATTAGGTCAATTGGAAAAAATCCATTGACCTCATCGGGACTTGAACCCGCGACCTTCCGGCTTGTAGCATAGTACCTTAACCACTACGCTACCGCGTACAATATTTAATTATTAATAATACATTCAATACAAACGGGACACAAGGAGTAGAGATAAATGGATTCAGAGTAGTGTGCTATCATGAGCTACGGTAGGAAGGGGAGAGCGACGCATCTGCCCTGTCTCCTTGAATTCTCTAAAAGTTGCCACAGTTATAAAGGGGAAAATTATATCAAATATAATGCAAAATATTGTCACGCATTAGGGGTTCCGCGAATAATAATAATAGTTTCTGGATGGGATGATTGGATTTATTGGCACTTCGATTACAATCACAACCAATTATGACAGCTCACAATCAGTAACTGTCTGTCACCCGCTCCATTACTTGCTGGGCAACAAGCGTCTACTCTTTGACTGTGACGAACGAGGAATCACTGCTCGCACATTCAACTGCCTTGAAAGACTTCTGTCTCACGACTTCCCGTCACTGAAATCTCCTGAGCTGAACTAACTTCCACGTGGCCGGAATATAGATCACCATCTCAAAACGGTTCGCTCATTCTGTTATTATTTGTTTTGTCCGTTGCTACGAAACGTAACAGCTTACTACTAAGCAACGGATATCCCGCTGATAACTGCGTTATATCGGGAATGTGTTTACTGAAGCGTTGTCTGGCAAATGATCATATTCCTTCATACTAATAAGAATCTGCTTAGCTATGTTCCAATATAGAGATCTGAAAAACTCTAGAGTGGTTCATAAAAATGTCCTCGAATTGCTTGTAGGCAAGTTTGTAATCACATTTTCTGCGTTCTCCACCCTGAAAAATTAATCCATAACGGCGCCCATGTACACAACATTGCGGTCTAAGTTTCTGAACACCAGTCGAGGTCACCCCCTGCTGTTACGGTGTATTCACT